CGAGATGGCTGTGTAAGTGTGCGCGTGTTGTGTGAATACCGCGCCAGCCACCCACACATTCCCTCATCCCCGGTTTTATTGACTGTCTTTACACTGGCAACGGAAGTGGGAGCGGCGAGCGAGGAGGCAGGTTCCCCGCGAGCCTGCTTTCACTCTTGTTTCATCTGCGGTAGTTTGCTGTGATTATTCAGCTTGCTGTAGCCTTCGTGCAGCTTGCCCAGCTTGCCTTAGTGCCTGCCTCGGCTATCTTCACTGTTTGCTGTGGCGTGTTGGAGCACACGGCTGCCCATCGTCGACATCGACGAGGGAACTATCGTGTGTTTAAGAGTTAAATTCATCTTTCTGAAACACTATATTTTGTCTACAATCCACGGTGTTCTGACATTGCACATTTCCATTGAAGACACGCAATAGAGAAGCCGAAATACACATCTAATATAGGTACCAGTTGAGACCTATGTATGGAGAACCCAAAAGAGGGCTACATTGTTTGAGCCTGCTCTACTGACCGTCTGCAGTCAGCCATTGTCCGTAATTGACCTTCTGCAGGCCCGCGACCTGAGCCATCGGCTCGCTGGCGTTCCATGTTACCTATGCGGTTGATATATGTATTAGTCTCCAGGGGACTTTCCGGTTGAATCCTACTCTAGGTCCCTGATCGGCACGCAAAAGACCTATTTATCTGTAATACAGGACCGGCTGAAGTAAGGAATATCCAGTATGGGAAATCCAATGGAAGGGAAAGATTAATTTAAAAAATGAAGTTTGTTAAAGTAGAAAAAACTGGAAAAATATTAAAATAATCTAATTTTTCCCAACAAAAAAGCGCGCCATAATTAAAATGTCTATTTATGCAAATGTCGGGAAATAACTTAATTAAAAAATAACTAACTAAATCTAGAATCACTTTGCTATAAAAAGGTAGACTAAAATAAGCCAAGCTGACGTGACTTGAAAAATAATCTAAAACTAAAATAAAAATTGTAAACAGGATAGTGAACTAAGAACTAAACTGAACACTGAGCTTAGATTTAAATAAGTTACATAAATAAAATAAAAGAACTAAAAGTTGGTGCGCATGTAAATTAGGGGTGTGCGCGGCGTTTCGCGCCACGAATTTTACTAATCTAACTCCAGCACTTTGGACCTCAGGTAACTTGAAGTATACAACCTCTTAAATACAATTTTTTTTCAGGAATATCAAGAAACCCAATTAACTAAAAAGTGTAAGTAAGTAAACGATTTACAAATTTGTCACACCCAATAAACTATAAGCAAGTAAGAAATATAAGTAAATTTCTGTGTTTATTTACGGCGCGCTATTTTTTGTGAAAGAATTAGACTGTTTAGGTAATTGTCGGACCTTAATTAGGATTCCACCGACGTTCCTTTTTGATCTAACCATCACAGTCGGACGTGTCTGGCGTAGTACTTCAGTGTATTCTCAGTTCGAAGTCCATGCCCATGCTTTTAAATGCTCTGGCTCTATACCGTATGGTGAAGTGAAACAGGATTTGTCCTAGGAGCTTCGTAAATAAAACACTCACAAAATTTATATATTTTATAGAATGAAGCAGTATCCAGGGCGTGCGGATGACATTCATTTGACATTTTAGACAGATAAGCATTCAGACAATGAAAAGTTCACCCAATTTTCTGACGGTTGCGACCGGATGGGGGAGAGGCATTAACATGTGCCAGCCGTGAGCTGCCGGACTGGCGAAGTGTAGCCTAACGGCCATTGAGAGGTGGGCTTTTAGTCCAAGTAGATGGACGCAGTGTGTTAGTAGTGTTAGGAGCTGCCAGCGAGTAGGCAGGGAGCAAGCCGCGCTCAAGAAGGGCTATTGATCGGCCTACAGGCGGCGAACGCAAATTTGCAATCAATCAATACTTTAAA